CCCCAAAAAAATCCCCAAAAAATCCCCAAAAAACCCCCAAAAACGCCCCCAAAAATCCCCAAAAAACCCCTAAAAAATCCCCAAAAATTCCCCAAAAAACCCCCTAAAAAATCCCAAAAAAACCCCAAAAAACCCCCAAAAACCCCCCAAAAAATCCCAAAAAATCCCCAAAAAATTCCAAAAAAAATCCCTAAAAAAAATCCCAAAAAACCCCAAAAAAATCCCCAAAAAATCCCCAAAAAATCCCCAAAAAACCCCAAAAACCCCCAAAAAACCTCCAAAAAAACCCAAAAAAATCCCAAAAATTCCCAAAAATCCCCAAAAATCCCAAAAAAATCCCCAAAAAACCCCCAAAAAATCCCAAAAAAATTCCCAAAAAAACCCTCTAAAAAATAAAAAAAAAATCCTGAAAAAACCCCCAAAAACCCCCAAAAAATCCCAAAAAATCCCCAAAAATCCCCCAAAAAATCCCAAAAAATCCCAAAAAATTCCCCAAAAATCCCCAAAAATTCCCAAAAAATTCCCCAAAAAATCCCTAAAAAAAATTTTAAAAAACCCAAAAAAATCCCCAAAAACCCCCCAAAAACCCCCCAAAAACCCCCAAAAAACCCCCAAAATCCCCCCAAAAAAACCCCAAAAAATCCAAAAAAATCCCCAAAAAACCCCCAAAAATCCCAAAAAATCCCCAAAAAAGCCCCAAAAAATCCCCAAAAAACCCCCAAAAAACCCCAAAAAAATCCCAAAAAATCCCCAAAAATTCCCAAAATTCCCAAAAATTCCCGGAATTCCCACCTGGATCTTCATGAGGCGCCCGGTGTAGGATTTGAAGTAGGAGAAGTGGATTCTGCTCATGGTGTCCACGTACTGCTCGCGCAGCTCCTGCGCCGCCGCTCGTTCGTGGCCCAGCAGGAATTGGTAAAAAAACCTGGAATTCCCATCCCGGGGAAATTCTTGGGAATTCTGGGAGGGGATGAGCCCCGAGTTTTGGGGGTTTGGGGGAGGATTTGGGGGGTTTGAGACCGAATTTTGGGGGTTTGAGCCCAAATTTTGGGGGTTTGATCCCGATTTTTGGGGGTTTGATCCCGATTTTGTGGGGCTGATCCCGATTTTTGGGGTTTGAGCCCAAATTTTGGGGTCATGATCCTGATTTTTGGGGGTTTGATCCCGATTTTTGGGGATTTGAACCCAAATTTTGGGGGCTTGATCCTGATTTTTGGGGGTTTGATCCCAAATTTTGGGGTCCTAATCCCGATTTTTGGGGGTTTGAGCCCAAATTCTTGGGCTGATCCCAATTTTTGGGTCCAAATTTTGGGGGTTTGATCCCGATTTTTGGGGGTTTGAGCCCAAATTTTGGGGGTTTGATCCCGATTTTTGGGGGTTTGAGCCCAAATTTTGGGGGTTTGAGCCCGAATTTTGGGGGTTTGAGCCCAAATTTTGGGGTCATGATCCTGATTTTTGGGGTTTTGATCCCGATTTTTGGGGATTTGAACCCAAATTTTGGGGTCATGATCCTGATTTTTGGGGGTTTGATCCAGATTTTTGGGGGTTTGAGCCCAAATTTTGGGGTCCTAATCCCGATTTTTGGGGGTTTGAGCCCAAATTTTGGGGGTTTGAGCCCAAATTTTGGGGGTTTGATCCTGATTTTTGGGGTTTAGATCCCAATTTTTGGGGTCCTAATCCTGATTTTTGGGGTTTTGATCCAGGTTTTCTTGGGCTGATCCCAATTTTTGGGTCCTAATCCCGATTTTTGGGGTTTTGATCCCGATTTTTGGGGATTTGAACCCAAATTTTGGGGGTTTGATCCCGATTTTTGGGGGTTTGAGCCCAAATTTTGGGGTTTAGATCCCAATTTTTGGGGTTTAGATCCCAATTTTTGGGGTCCTAATCCCGATTTTTGGGGTTTTGATCCAGGTTTTCTTGGGCTGATCCCAATTTTTGGGTCCTGATCCCGATTTTTGGGGTTTTGATCCCGATTTTCTGGGGCTGATCTCGATTTTTCGGGTCCTAATCCCGATTTTTGGGGTCCTGATCCCGATTTTTGGGGGTTTAATCCCGATTTTTGGGGGTTTGATCCCAAGTTTTGGTCCTGATCCCGATTTTTGGGGTCCTGATCCCAATTTTTGGGATTTTGATCCCAAGTTTTGGGGTTTTGATCCAGATTTTTGGGGTCCTAATCCAAATTTTTGGGGTCTTGATCCCAATTTTTGTGGTTTTGATCCCGATTTTCGGTCCTAATCCCAATTTTTGGGGTTCTGATCCCAATTTTCTGGGGCTGATCCCAATTTTTGGGGTCTTAATCCCAATTTTTGGTCCTGATCCCAAATTTTTGGGGTTTTGATCCCCATTTTTGGGTCCTGATCCCGATTTTTGGGGTCATGATCCCGATTTTTGGGGGTTTGATCCCAATTTTTGGGGTTTTGAACCCAAATTTTGGGGTTTTGATCCTGATTTTTGTGTCCTGATTCCAAATTTTGGGGTTCTGATCCCAATTTTCTGGGGCTGATCCCGATTTTTGGGGTTTTGATCCCAATTTTTGGGATTTTGATCCCGATTTTTGGGGGTTTGATCCAAATTTTCTGGGGCTGATCCCGATTTTTGGGGGTTTGAGCCCAATTTTTGGGGTTTTGATCCCAAGTTTTGGGTCCTGATCCCGATTTTTGGGGTCCTGATCCCGAGTTTTGGGTTTTGATCCAGATTTTCTTGGGCTGATCCCAATTTTTGGGGTTTTGATCCCAATTTTTGGTCCTAATCCCGATTTTTGTGTCCTGATCCCAATTTTTGGAGTTTTGATCCCGATTTTTGGGGTCCTAATCCGTATTTTTGGGGTCTTGATCCCAATTTTTGGTCCTAATCCCGATTTTTGGGGGTTTGATCCCAAGTTTTGGGGAGTTGATCCCAAATTTTGGGGTCCTGATCCTGATTTTTGTGTCCTGATCCCAAATTTTTGGGGTTTAGATCCCAATTTTCTTGGGCTGATCCCAATTTTTGGGGTTTTGATCCCGATTTTTGGGGCCCAATCCCAATTTTTTGGATCCTGATCCCAATTTTCGGGGCCCTGATCCCAATTTTTTGATTCTCATCCCAATTTTCAAGGTCCTAATCCCGATTTTCAGGATCCAGATCCCGGATTTTTTTGGAAATTCCCAGATTTTTTTTGAGAATTCCCAGATTTCTTTGGGAATTCCCAGATTTTTGGGGTTTTTTCCTCCTCACTTGTACTTGAGCAGGGAATTCTGCGGGATCTGATAATTCGTCATCGGCTTCCGGAAGGAATAAATCTTCTGGAGAACGAATTCCCGGATTTTCGTCACGGCCTGGGGGAAAAATGGGAATTCTGAGGAAATTTGGGGGATTTTTGGGAATTTTTGGGGGATTTTTGGGGAATTTTTGGGAATTTTTGGGGAATTTGGGGAATTTTTTGGGAATTTTGGGGAATTTTTGGGGGGATTTTTTGTGAATTTTGGGGAATTTTTGGGGAATTTTGGGGAATTTTGGGGAATTTGGGGAATTTTGGGGAATTTTTGGGGGAATTTTTGGGAATTTTTGGGGAATTTTTGGGAATTTTTGGGGAATTTCGAGGAATTTTTGGGGATTTTTGGGGAATTTTGGGGAATTTGGGGGATTTTTGGGCCAAATTTCGGAGATTTTGGAGGGAATTTTTGGGAGGTTTTTGGGAATTTTTGGGGAATTTTGGGGAATTTTGGGGAATTTCGGGGGAATTTTTGGGGAATTTTTGGGGAATTTTTGGGAAATTTTTTGGGAATTTTGGGGGATTTTGGGGAATTTTTGGGAATATTTGGAAATTTTTGGGAATTTTGGGGGAATTTGGGGAATTTTGGTGAATTTTGGGGAATTTGGGGGAATTTTGGGGAATTTGGGGGACTTTGGGGAATTTTGGGGGAATTTTGGGGCATTTCGGGGAAATTTTGGGGAATTTTTGGGGGATTATTTGGGAATTTTGGGGAATTTGGGGGGAATTTTTTGGGAATTTTTGGGGGATTTTTTGGGGAATTTTTGGGAATTTTGGGGGAATTTTGGGGGAATTTTGGGGGAATTTTGGGGGAATTTTTGGGGATTTTGGGGGGATTTTTTGGGATTTTTTGGGAATTTTTGGGAATTTTTTGGGAATTTTTGGGGGATTTTGGGGAATTTTTGGGAAATTTGGGGAATTTTGGGGAATTTTTGGGGGAATTTGGGGGAATTTTTGGAAATTTTTGAGGGAATTTTTTGGGAATTCTGGGGAAATTTGGGGAATTTTGGGGGATT